TTTCATCCGTCCGATGGAGTGTTAAACACATTGATCCTTCTATTTCCAGTGGATGGAAAGCGAACTAATAATTATACACGAAATGCGAAGCTACCATCTGATGCTAGGATGATTTAAAATAAAATAAAAACTAGGGTCGATGTTACACGAGGCACACCAAAGTAGGTATGATCAGTTTTGTACAAGCAGATATGCGACAATTGCTATTTGACCAAGTATTATTTTGGGCAAAAATGTGTTCAGATTCAGCTGATAAAAGATATGGAATGTAGCTGTGATAAATGTTTCCATGTGAAGATAGCAAATTGTTTTGCGAATGCGGTGTTGATAAGCAGAATATATATATATATATATATATATATATATATATACATATATATATATATATATATCGCAAGTAAATGTTGAAGCATTGACGCATGTTTGATGCATGGCAAGTTGGTATCGTTTGACCTTGACCCGACCGCTTGCACCGCTATCCACAGACACATGGCTTCCATTTTCGCCCGCTTGTCATATTGAATGGCGTCAGTGCTCCTTGTACAGCGTTGGATTACTGCCCGTATCCAGTTGAGGGAACCATGAGCCACATGGAAGTGGGGATCGGAGCCACTGATTAAGGGCAATCCGCCGTTATTACAAGGTTCTTCAGATGCCGGCCAAGATGCCTAGAAAACTGTGAAAGTAGAGCAACGGACAACAGACAGCCAGACGGAATAGAGTGGAAACACACAAAAAGGTGAACACCATGCAACAAAGGAGTAATCGTTAAAACATTAGGTACTTTGTGTCTTCGTTGCCATAAATGTTACATATATGAGTTCTTACGAAAGAGTAAACAGCGGGCAAATGTGAAGAGATGCGAGTTAGGGCTGGACGCCCGATAACGACTAGGAGTGGAAGGCGTTGCAGCATACGCGAGTGACTGTATTTACGAGGCTAAACCGTTGCGTCGCCCAGGACGATTGTCGTTGTAGGTTTCTGCGGTAAGATAGCTGATGTAAGCTGAAAAATGGCCAGCAATATATGGGGCTGAATGCTCGCTTACAGCAAGTTGAATAGGCATTTAATCATGTAACAAATGTGTGAACACCACTGGATCCGAAACTAATGCACTGCGTCGCGAGGG